GAATCGACTCAATAAGAGTGAGGGAGCTGAGCTATCAAACTGATAGAATGTAATCCCATTTGATTACAACAGGGTTTACTTCTCCCTGGAATGGCAATTTAAAACACTGCTCAGTGTCTCGCTGGCTTCTAGTTGAACAAACAGGGAAGTCTCCCTTACCAGCCCACGCTTCCTTCTTGTTGAATGGTTTTCCAGGTGTAGCACACATGCATGTGTACTAGCAAGTATGCTCCATGTGGGCAGGGACTTTTATCTATTAGGTGCACCAAGGTACCCCAGCATCTAGGACAGTGTCAGGATGTATCCCCCACTGCCACTGAGTCAATTCAGACTCAAAGCAGTCCGACAGTCGAACTGCCCCATAAAGGTGCCAAGCTTGACTATCTCTATGGGAGCCAGAAGCCTTATCTTTCTTCCCCAGAGCAGCGGGTGGGTATGAACTGCCGCCCTGCCAGGTAGAAGCCCAACACTTAACCCGCTATGTCACCAGGGCTCCTTCCATGCACAATCAGGCCTCTTTAGATACTCATTGGATGAATATACAAGGAATTCGCTGATTGACAACATAGTCAAGTTACGATGAACTGTGCTTATGATGGCCCACGATTTTTTTGGTGTGTATACACCTGAATGAGTTGGACTTGCCCCTACCAAGGTGGTTTCATGGTTAGTACTACATCTGTACTACAGTGTTGCACCCTATAGTTGCTGTTCACATTCTCAGCTGCAGTGTTGCCAGCCCCCAAAGACAAAGATCAGACTTGTAAAGATATCGACACAGAAAAAAACCGAGGTATTCGAGTTAAGTCCAGAACCGATTTACTATATAGCAGTCATCAGAATGGAATGCAGGCCCCACCATCAGCTGGGGACGACCTGCGGGAAGTGTGGAAAACCGCATGCATGTTGTGCTTTCGCTGGGGAACCACACTTACAGCTGCCACACCCAGCTGAGATCTGGAAGATGCCTATGATGACTGAAACTTCTAGCAACACAGACAGCTTGCAGGATGCTTTCAGGGCAGTCCCGGTGCTACAAATACTTAAGCATGCAGCTACTGACTGAGAGGTTTGGTGATTTCAGCTCACTTCCAAGCAGCACCTTGGAAGAAAGGCCTGGCCACCTGCTGCACTGCTTTTAGCCCTGAGTTGAAGAACTACCTCCCGTATAAAGTGCTTTCTCCCAGGTGGCGACCTGAAAGCTCTCCGTGGCAGAGAGGCTGGGTGGAAACTCTGGTGTCTGCTTCAGCAGACCTCCCTTGTGGCACTGTGGCAAAGTCACTTTACTGCCTTGGGCCTCAGGCCTGTACCCCCCAGGGCCCTTTCCTTCCCCCTGGAAAATGCTATGATTATCTACCAGCTTCACCCTCTAGGTTCCTCAGCCTTCTCGAATCCAGTTTCACAGAAGGACTGGGAAAGAGTGAAATAAAGAAACAGCGACATTGGCAGGGAGTAGCCTTGGGTGCCTGCAAAGGAAAATCGCGGCCCCCTGAGTAAGACAAGCTCTGGTGGGGCAACAACTGCTAACCCTCGGATGGGTGGCGCTTCAAACACACTCAGCAGCTTTGCTGCCCAGGCAAAACCGGCTCCGGGAAGATGATAGCTTAGAAAACCCAATGCGGGCAGTTCTCTGTCACCTGCGGGTGCTCAGAGTGGGAACTGACTCCCAGGCATCCAGCAATAGCAGGCGTTTCCATAGAAGGCAACTGTGGGCCCATTCCCCCTCCCGGCCACTCTAGGCAAACACACTAGCCTCTTCTTCACCTATCTTACTGAGTGAGTTCATCCTGCCACGCTGCTATGAAGAGAACCCTGGCCGGTTCAGAACGCTTCTAACCAAAAGGATGCTTCTGCCAGGAGGAGCCAGCACCCTCTGACCTGCGCAGGGAGACTGTTAATATGGTCTGGAAGATTCTTTGGTCCATCTTTCAGTTAACAGCGTTTGAAGGGGCCCATAGGGGCCAGAATTTATAGTACTTTCTATTTCCAAATGAAATGCGGTGACTTAATGTTTTTCTACGCAAGCTTTCCCCAGCCGCCCTGTCAGGCACTGTGCAGAATATGTCAGCACTGTGCGGAGAGGGTGGGGGTGCATGTTGACACTGTGGGGAGCGTTCAAAGCCTGCACACTGTCATTACCCTGCCTTCCCTGCACTGACAGCTCGCTACTGTGTTGAACATACCTGGAAAGAAGTCACTTTGGCTTAGCATGTGGCTCAGTTTCTCTTTGGGAACATTGCTCATTCCAGTTTCCTCTCGGCTCTAGTGGGTCCTCCCACAGAGCAAACAGAACTGGGTGTGTTCTCGTGGTTCGAGTGTCAACGGGCCAGCAGCATCTCGCTCTCAGTCCCTTGATCACTCAGCCTCTGGCTTGTACAAGAGTGGTAATTCTTGCTCCGCAATGGCCCTCCTCCCCACCATGAAGTATCAGGAGGGTTAACGTGACCTTGCTTGCTTTGCAGGCGGTTGTATCTTTTGTGAATCACCAAACTCACTGCCAAGGAGTTGATTCAGTCTCATAGTAACCCTACCCAACGGGGTAGGACTGTCCCTGTGTCTTTTTTGAGACTGTAGCTCCTTATGGGAGTAGAAAGCCCCATCTTTCTCCCACAGAGAGGTGGGTAGTTCTGAACTGTGGACCTTGAGGCTAGCAACCCAATTCCAGATATCAATGATTCTAGCTGTGTGAATCTGTCTGCACCGTAATCAGGCAGAGCCATTTTCTCCCCCAAAAGTCCTGGTTGGAGCAGGTACCTTCATTTCAAAAGATTGCTCCTGTTCTCTTCGAATCTTTCTTCCATGGGGTGGCTGGTGGTTACGAACTGCTGATCTGGTTGTTAGCAGCCCAATGTGTAACCACTATGCCACTAGGGCCCCAATTTAAATCACAGATGCCTCCTACAGCAATTCTAATGTGTGATTTTCATGGACATCATCAACTTGTAGTGATTTGATCGTGGCTGCTCACTGGCTGACCTGATCAACATCTACACATCCAGATCTTCAGGTCACACCCCAAACCAATTCCATCACCATCTCTGGGGAGGAGACCCACCATTTGTGCTTTCTAGATCTTTCCAGGGGATTCTAGTAAGCAGAGACCACTTCCCAAAGGATGGGTCAGGACAGAAGTATCCAGGCCAGGTGCCAAATCTTTCAGACAGTGGCATTTCCGATCAGAAAGGCCTCCCTTTTATTGTACAGTTAGTTGTAAACTGTTCATTGAGTCCTAAAGTAAATAAGTAGTTTGTCCAAAGTCGGACTTAGTTGGAGCCAGAGCCACAACCAGGGGCCAACATGAAGCCAAGGTTGGAGGGATACTGAGATACCAATGAACCAAACCACATTCACTGCCATTGAATAGATGCTGACTTGTAGTGATGCTATAGGACAGGGTAGAACTGCCCCTGTGGGTTTCCAAGACCGAAACTCTTTATGGACGTAGAGAGCCTCGTCTTTCTCCCGCAGAGAGGCTGGTGGTTTTGAACTACTGACTTTATAGTTAGCAGCCCAACTTGAGATTCTGATGACGGCTCTGTCAATCAGTCTGCTCTGTAATCAGGCAGAGCCATGGTTTCCCCTGGATGTCCTGGTTGGAACAGGTACTTTCATTTCAAAGGCTCAGTCCTCTTCCCTGTCTCATCCTAAATCACCCTGGAAGCTCTCTTTGGCCTTAGAAAAACGCATGCTTTCTCTTTCTGGGGGCTTCTGGAAGAAGAAGCTTTTCTTGCTGTCATTAGGCATGAAACAAATGTGCCACATTTTATGCCTAGCCCATGGGTGTGGAGGACATTAGCCCAGGACTGAAGAGTGCGGCCACCTTGTCTACTGTTGCTGCTAGCACAGTAGGTTTCCTGTGGGGTTGGGTGAAGGAGCCCCGGTGGCACAGTGGACTAAGCACTGGGCTGCTAACCGCCAGACTGGGCTTTGAACCCAGGGGAGAAAGATGGAGCAGTCTGATTCCTTAAAGATGGACAACCTTGGAAACCCCATGGGGCAGTCCCTACCAGGGTCGCTGTGACTTGTCATTCTCTCCGTGGCTGTGGGCTTGGCTTTGGGGTTGGGGTTGTACATCACCTTTCCTTATTGCTACCTGACTCATCCACACACCACCCTCGCATTGCCTCTAAGTTGTGGTGGAGTACACGTTTATGCGGCAGAGAAACTTTGCGGAGAGCCGAGGGCCGATGACAGTGAGTCAGAGTTGACGGGTCATGGCAGAACATGCTGTTTAAAACGTATTCCATTTTGAGAGGCCAATCACAGACTAATGGTCTAATACGAACAACCAGCCTTTTCTTCAGCGTTAACGCTGTCAGCTGTGGCGTGGACCTCCAGTTTTCTTTCCCGAAGCCCAGCCAGCACCATTTCCCAGAACTCTTTATGGAATCTGGGACTTTTCTGACCAGAGTAGACACTGCCCAGATGTTTGTTCTAGAAATGGAGGCTGTTCTGGGCTCTCCTTGCCTCTGGCTTGCTTTTAGTGCAAGTTAGGCCATTGTTTGTCCTACTCCTGTAAAGATTTACGCTCTCCGAAACCCACAGGGGGCAGTTGGAGTCTGTCCTCTGGGGTCAAGCCATGAGTGGGTGTCAACTTGCGTGTGTGAGGCCTCTCTGCTTTCAGAGGTAATTGTGGGTGGGAGTGCAATGGGTTCCAGAAGTCAGCATATGCACACACAGCAAAACCAGGCACAGAGTTCTGAAAACCAGAAGAAAGAGGGAGTGTGTGGACCTACGAGGGGAGCCAAGAAAAGGGCACGCTGGTGGGCCTTCCTGTGGTGCCCATGCTAAAGGAACGCTATACACTTCGCTGCCCCTCTTGCTGGACAAATCAGCCCCGCTCATTTACAAGCCAAGCATCCCCGGGCGCTTCAGGCTGCAGCCGGCAGTGTGGCCCCCAGGAGCCGGGCCTTAGCCCAGCGCCTCTTTGGGGGTGTGCGCGGAGGGGGTGCGTGGGGGCCCACCGGTGGCCCGCCCCGCGGGGAGGGAACGGTTCTTACAGTCACTGCTCGGCGCGAAGGGCGCACGGCGGCGGCCGAGGGAGCGGTCTTCGGAGGGCGCCTCGGGAGGCCTCTTACCGGCGGGCAGCGGGAAGGCGGACGCGGTGTGGAGCAGCACCAGGCAGACAGCCACGACATCCCATAACTTCATCTTAGAGTCCCGTCCAGCGGCGGCACCTGCACCGGAGGAACGTGGGAAAGGAAAGCGGAGAATGCGCATTAGACATGCGTGTCCCCTGGGCCCCAGCGCTCTCCGCTGGTTTGTGACACCCCTGCAGGTCCTCCCGGCCTCTCTCCAAGTCTGACCTATTACCCTTCCATTGGTCAGCAACAAGTCCCCAGCCCCCAACAACCCTCCCTAGCCTGGACCCCCAAGGTGATGGGGCAAAAGCCCACTTACTCTTCATTCCAGGCCAGCCCCAAACAGGGGATTCCTTCCTGGCCACTCTCAAGAACCAGCCCCCAGGCCAGGCAAGCCACAGGCCTTTTAATTTTACATTAAAAGCACCCCACTGTCGATCAGTCCCTAAGAGGCACAAAGCGCCCAGTCAGGCTCGCCCCTAGCTCCCAGCCTCACTCTTCCCTGGACTCCACAACCATTTTGTGCCAGGAACTCAAAGTTAAGAGTTTGTTGTTGTTAGGTACTGACCTAGGTCCAACCAAAGGAAACACTGCCCAGCCCTGGACCCTCCTCACAACATTTGAGCCCATTGTTTGCAGCCCCTGGCTCCATCTGTCTCATCCAGTGCATTCCTCTCTCTCCCTGCCCAAGCTTGGCAAAGTGGCATTAGGAACTATCTGCACGGTTAAAATGATCTGCAGTGTTCAAATGACTGCAGGTCTGAAAACCTACTCAACTTCAAATACTACTTCCACCTCTTCCCATTAACGCAAAGCAAAGCAAAACAGAATACAACAAAAACGCCTGAAAGGAGCATCAGACAGTAAGCACTCAGTGCTGGGTGGTTGCTATCAGGCAAGGATGGCAACTGTCTTGAAAAAAACGGAAACCTCTCTGTAGCATACCCCAAAACTCGCTCTTGGATTTTATTTTGCAGCCCTACTGGATGCTGGCCCTAAATCCCTTCTTGTCCAAGGAGAGCCTCCAGCTTCCCGTGTCCCTGTCCAGCGACTCCAGTCACTGGAAGCCTAGGCCCCAGATGCCAGGGGGTGGGGTGCTTTTCTCAAGACGGTGAGTTCTGGAGGCGTTTCTGCCTCACACCCCCAGAAAGAAGGGCCACGCTGCCCGCTGGAGCCCGC